GAAGAAGAAGAAGAAGAAGAAGAAGAAGAAGAAGAAGAAGAAGAAGAAGAAGAAGAAGAAGAAGAAGAAGAAGAAGAAAGGAGGAGGAAGAGGAGGAGGAGGAGGAGGAGGAGAACAACAATTAAAAATGTAAATGACCAAAACACCAAAAAGTCATCCCACTCCAAATCTGATCATGTACTCACTGCCCAGCTTAAAAATTCCATATGAACTCATTTTTATTTATTATATGAAAATCCAAGAACTTTATCTTGACCTCCAAAATAATTTCACATCTGGTCCTACATGCAATGTTGACTACATTATCTACCTCTGTATCCCATGCGCTTTCTGCATGCTTCTTTTGGAAAATGTCATGCTTTTTCTACTGTTAGAAAACCTCTTAACTTTGGAAAACATCACCTTCATGAAGGCTTTCTAGTGCCCTAAGAAAGTTGGTGATCTATGAACGTTGCTTTCACAGTGTGCTTTTAAGCACAATCATAGCTGCTATGGCTTCCCTATCTCAGGGGTCAGAGGAGTTGGCCTGAGATGCTGCAGGTTAGGTGTAGCAAAAGATTTGTAAAGGATAACAACCAAGCCAAGATGTGATCTTCCCAAGTGTAATTAGATAGTCTTCTTCATAGAGTTTATATAATTAATAGTTTGAGTGAAATCTAACATGACAATTTAAAGTCCTTTCTAAAGCAGTAATGCATAAGAGGCTGTGCTAAGAGGAAATTTAGCAGAAAATGGATGGGTGGATGAACAAAAATCAGTAGACATAGATGATAGACAACAGCTCATAGTGTGTTGCTCTCTGTAGTTATAAACTCATGGAACTATGTTTGTCTTCTATCCCAAAAGCACACGGCAACAGCCTCTTTTCTAAATTTTTCTGGAAAAAATTGAATGTGTTGGGAATGGTAATTTGTTTTCAAGTGGCATGTTTACCAGAATCCATTGGTAGTGGCTGCTTAGAATCTGAGTTTGGCTCATTCTTATTCAGGAAAAATGAAAACTGTGACCAACTTCAATCAGCATGGTATAAAAGAATGGCAGGACATGCATTTCCCAGGCACACCAACCCCTGAAACATTTAGAGAATAGGAATAGAAGAGTGGCGCAAGCTTTCTTCCCTTGCCTTTGCGTTTGTTGAGACTTGTCTCTGCATACAGGGTCTGTGTTCTTGGATAGGATCCCAAAGTGATATTTTTCTTCATAGTCAAGTTCTATATAAACTCCTGTTGAATATTTAAAACATCTTTGGCTCTTAGCTACTTCAGCAGAAGTAAGACTGGATTATTGTGGTTCATTGTTATGAGGAAGTAGGTAAAAATCACTTAAAGCGATTCAGTTTGTTCTGTTGACTGAACAAGCAGTGTTTCTTGACTAAAGCTGTGCTCTGGCTACTGTTAATACTTATGAACCATTTTCAGAATAAGATATTTGGGAAGTTATTTGGCTGGGGGTATGCAAAAAGAAGATGTCACACAAGGGCTTGTTAAAAGTTCCTCCGTGGCAGGTTCAAACATATACAATATTATTACTGTGTCTTGGCAGCTCATTTTCTTTTTTTATAAACAGTCAGAAAAGCAGCTCTGGTTTATTTAATTCCCGGAAAAGAAAAATTGGAACCATTTAGCCTGTTTAATATCAAAACCTACCTGACCTGCAAGAGAATCAGGAGGAATTTCAGGGAACACTTCGAGTTACATCATCTGAAACACAAACGCTTTGCTGCAAATAAAGTAGAACTTTTAAAAGAGCCTCAGTACAAATTTCATAACATTGGTGTTTCTCCCTCTGATTTCTTTTTTTAAATATCTTTGTCCAGGAATTTCCAGAAATTAACTTTTTAACCCTTGCCCTTTTATCTTAACCTTGGTCTTTCTCAGAATGTTAAGCATGAATTTATCAATTTTGTATGAATTGATTATAAAACATATATTTTAAGTTCCAAAGTCTGTAAGTACCTGTAGTTCAAGCATTCCCATGTGAGACACTGAGCTCTTTCTGTCTGACTCAAGAGTTATACGCTTTAAAAATGTATCCATCCACACATTCTCCATTGTTTCATTACCAATTTTCTCTCGTGTGACATTGTTTATAAAACCAGGATCTATAAACTTTGTAAATATAACCAAACTGTGCTGAAATCTTTCCTATTTCTGTCTAAACTTTCCTTTGTTTCACTCCTACTCTTTAATTTAAAGCCCTGAAGACATGGACTATGGGGCAAGTGATTTGGACTGGTGCATAGTAATGAAGAAAGGATGATATTTGGCACTTTAGAAGATTGCTCTGGCAGTGATATTCAATAGGTACCTGGAAAGTACCTCAAAGATTTTGCAATCTAATGAAATTAGGGATGAAAGAGGAGAGAAAGGTGTGGGTTACAATTGGATGTTAGCATTGTGTAATGCCCTTCTCTGTTACCTCTCCCAGAAAATAATTTTATTTCAAATTGTCCCAAATTGAAAAAAGGAGAAAGAAAAGAAAATGCATGCAACTTTATGAGTGGCACTCCACAAATATTTTCTGCTTTAGTGAATAGTTGATGGGCTGGATTAAGGGTAAAAATCTAAGTCATGGTTGGATAATGATAAAAATCTAATATAAAGACTGCAAGGGGCTTATCTGTTCTCTGAAGTTCTTTTCTATCTCTAAAGTAATTTTCTTAGCACATTCACTTATTTCTTTCACCGTGTAACCCAACTTATTTCTAGGTATAGCTGCCTGACTCTCACATTCTCTAATTGATTACATTTTACACTTTCTTTCTTCTACTGCATTTAAATGTAGTAATTCTGTCTTAATCGTACTTATACAACAATTCTATTATTTCACTTTAACTTGCTTTTATTCCTCAGCCTTTAAACTCATTAAACATCAAAGACCAGGTTTTCTGAGTTGTCTCACAATGTTTAAAACAAGGCCTTGTGGGATAGCAAACGTTTTATGTCATTTTCCTGGATTCTAATGAATTATGCCACCAACGATCATGTTATCATGGAAAATATACTGTTTTGACTATGCTCCAGGGGTTTTCTTTTTAGTACATTAGGTTATTTTCTTTTACTATGACTTTATATGTAATTGGTATTTCTCACTTTATAAGAAATTGGTTTTATTTCTTAGGAAAGCAAGATTCTAGATAATTAAGCTTTTATTGCTTCTTTCCAAAATCTCCGTGATATGAATTTCCAGATGCTGAGTATTTTGTTTTTTTGTTGTTGTAAAATGAATATATGTTATTTATAAAACTGCACACTATTACATATAACATTCCTGTCACGTATGCTCCCCAGAATGTTGTGCTATGAAATATTTTGTGCAGATACGTATGATCATTACTGATGCTTGCTTCAGAAAGGTGTCTGCTGAATCCAACTTTTTCTATTAGTGCTGTAAGAAATGATTCTGGTCCTTGTCAAGGGGCAGTCCTTGCCTTTCTGACTGCACTTGGCACTGGGGGGAACATCATCGTTTTTGTGAGTCACACACGCATGTTTTGGGGCACTGAGAAGAAAGCTATGCACCTTATTCTGATCCATTTGGCCTTCACAAATAACATAATGCTTCTATTTAAAGGCATTCCAAGGACAATAGCAGCTTTTGGAGTGAGAAACTTCCTCGATGACATAGGTTGTAAAGTCGTGTGTTACCTGGAGAGAGTGGCCAGGGGTCTCTCCGTCTGTACCAGCAGTCTCCTCACTGTGGTCCAGGCTGTCATCATGAGCCCTAGTCATTCCAGGTGGAGGAGGCTCCAACCCAAGTCTGCATGGCTGATTGTTACTGTATTTCCCTTTCTTCGGATATTTAGTTTTTTGACAAACATAAATTTACTCCTTTACATCATGAGTGTAAACACATCACGAGTTAGCACAAGTGAGTACTATTGTTATTTTCAACCAGAAAATCAGAAGGTAAGATGGAGCATTCTCAGTACAATGGTTTTTCAGGATGTTCTATCTCAGGGCGTCATGTGTGGCCCAAGTGGCTACATGGTGTTTCTTCTCCATGAGAGATGCTGAGTATTTTCATCAACATCTCTTAGTGTATTTTGATTTTGACATATGGTTTTATTCATATACCTAAGTCTTAGAATTGAAATACATTTAATATATATCATGAAAAAATTTAATTTAGTCAATTCTTAATCTCTAATAAGAGTATTTTATCATTTGGGACTTGACTATCTAACAGATTTAGATTTTGAAACATAGAAAAAGAAATTAAGGTAGTATTCCCTTTATCCTGTAAGGTATTGCATAAGACCATTGAGACTGGGTGTGGTGGTGCTCGCCTGTAATCCCAGATCTTGGGAGGCTGTAAACAGGTGGATCACTACAAGCGCAATATAGTAATGAGACCCTGAATGCCCTGTAGACCCATAAAAATACAAAAACAGAAAAAACCCAAAACAACAACAAAAAAAACTATTATTTTCTTGTGAGTGATGATTTCAGATAAGCAAGATTATAGATTATCATATGAAACAGAAATTTTAGTTACCATTTCTATTGTGGAGAACATTTTCACTATCACTATTTCTATTTTAAGTATTTCTATTTTAACAAACTATTTTTCTTTTTCTTTTTTTCTGTATTTTAGGGAAGGGTCTAGAGGGTGTTCAGGGTCTCACTACTAGATCAGACTCATAGTGATCCGCCTGTTTACAGCCTTCCAAGAGCTAGAATTACAGGCACGCACCAGAAAGCCCAGTCTCAATTGTCTTCTCAGAGCAGCCCGGGGGCCAGGCTGGCATGGCTGGCCGTGGAGATCGAACTCCAGCCCCTGCCCCTGTTTGCAGGTGTTTTAATCTGCTGAGCTGTTTGGTCAGCCCTAACATTATTATATTCAAGAATGGAATAGGCTATACAATTTATTGAAGTTTGTGTGTTAGTTTTCTACAGCTGCTACAATAAATTGCCACCCAGTGACATAAGACAACACAAATGTGTCATCTACAGTTTTGTAGATCAAAAGTTTAATACATCGCACTGAGCAAAAATCAGAATGATAGCAGAGATACATTCTTTTCTTGATGATCTACAAGGTAATTTTCTTTCTTATCTTTTCTAGCTTTTAAAGCATCCAACATTTTTTGGCCTGTCTCCCTCTTACCCCCATAAATACCCTTTCCACAGCTCCAAAGCTAGCAGTACAGGTCCAGCTCTTACTAGGTTGCATTTTACTGTGCTTTCCTCTATACACTGCATTTGTCTTTATCTACACCTGGGAAAAGGTCTTCATTTTGCATGACTTGTATTAGATTGGGCTACAAGTAACCAATGATGTAATCTTTGTTCTAAAGGAGCATAATCTTTACATAGAAAAGTTTAAAATTACAATGTAGTGAACTATAAACCTCAATATATTGCCATCAATCTATTTGGGATATCAAGGAAATAGAGTTAGTCTTAAATTTGATTCTTTTCTTGAAGTAAATCTACACTTCTTCATTTGTTGTAAGTGCCTTTGATCATTGTTTCTTTGCAAATTACTCAGAAGAAAAAGTATATTATAAACGACAGTAAGAAGGAAGCACAGGCCTGTAATCCAGCACTTTGGAGGCTTAGGCAGGAGGATCACAGAGTCAGCTTAGGCTAGATCTCACATAGTGAGATCAAGACCAGGCTGAGCTACATAGTGAGTCCCTGCCTCAAAACAAAAAGAAAAACAGAAACAAAAACAAAAACAGAAAAGTAATGAGGTAGAAAATTTGTTTTTGAATGGACAAAAGAGTATTTCTTTATGCCCAGAGGAAATTTTCAGGCTGTAAATCTAGATATCAATTGAAGGTGTTAAAAGAGTAAATGAAAAATTGTTAAACTAACTCTGTAGCATGTATTTTATTAGCATTTATTATTATTATTAATTATTATTTTTGTAGTATTGGGGATTGAACTCTGGACCTTATGCTTACCAGATAGGCATTTACACTGCTGAGTTATCTCCCCAGTCTGGTATTCAGTATTATTTATTTAGGTTGCATCTCCTGCACAGAGATGTTCTTCTTTTCCTCCCACTGTAATTTTCAGTATATATTGCTTGAAAAGTTATTCTAACACATGAACTATTCTCAACCTCTACTTATAAAAAAATAGAACTTTGAATAAGAAAATCCCTTTGGTGACTTCATCACGTATCTGTCTGCCTAGATACCATACACATAGATCCACATTCTAGATGCTCATTGAGATAGTTTAAGAAGCCTGATTGCTAGTAATGATTGCTAGGTGGTTTTTTTTTTATAAGTACATAAGTAAAAGAATTTATTGTAGTGAAAGACACATTGCCATTAATCCCCCTCAAAATACTATTTTTCACTTAAGTTAAACACTAAAGAATGTGCTCAAGATTATACGGATAATGAGGTATACTATTTATGTGATTTTAAAGGTCATATTTCTAAGCATGACAGCATACCATTTTCCATAATTCTTAGCTACCAAGTAATTCTTTTGTTTTTGTTTTTTTTTCTTTTCAA